GGGGACACGGCAATCGTCGTGTGTGTGTAAGAGAGATAGATAAATAGACATGAATTGTGAGAGCGAGAGGAATGGAGATCAACCCTCATGGATTCGCACAGTCCTCCCACACCGAATCATCAAAATCGGCACAAACCCCTTCTAATACACGATTGATATGCTGACGCTGACCGCACATCTCTCTATCACACATATCCATATCCGCACATTACTCTCCTCTCTGCTGACGATCGCAATTCCAGAATCGACCACACTCTATTTTCTGCACACTCCCACCCACAACTTTTTTTTTGTTGTCCCTTCCTGTGTTTTGTCTTTTTTGTAGTTTTTTTTTGTCTTCTCTTTTTTTACATCTTTTATTACCCTCGTTTCATCAATTTCATCGACACTCCGATCCTCCGCTTCCGAACCTACTCATCAAACCCATAATTCAAGACAAGACCATTTCCAAATCTTATTTCTATTCGACCATGCAAAGGGTTTCCAAACTATGTTAATATGTGTTCCATGAAAACTTGTAATGAAAAAAATACTAAATAAACCAACTTTCAGCAAGATTAGATGAATTTGGCTTTAGATGAAAATTTGATAAATTGCATCTGAATCTGTTTTAAATGAAAGAAATGTAGCGTGCCTAATTTGAACAAATTAATTTGCATATATTTTCGAGATTGACTTACAGTTTATTAGAATTCATGTATTCATATAAAAGAATAAATTGAAGATATTGTTGGATATTGTGTAGATACAAAGCAACAGAAATTAAATCGATTGTGGGAAAGGATTCCGTTTGGTATTGTGCGCCCATTCAGTTGTATTCGAATGGAACACACGGCGATGGGTTAGCACCACTTGACGGTGCAGCATCGATATCATCGAGAGCAGAAGACGAAGAAAGGAAGAAGAAAGAAAAACAAAACAAAACAAAAATAGTCTTCGAATCCGCCCGTAGGTAATTCGAAGTCCTTCTACCTGGATGCCCTCTCTCGCATTATACAACAACAATCGGGACTTGAAATGGAGACTTGTCGACGACTGCCGCGGCGCAGACTGCCAGTTTCTGAATGGGAATGCCAAATTGTTTCTTCGAGATTGCACTAGCATCTCTCTCTCTTTCTTTCTCTCTCAAGTTATATAATATATGTATAAATGTGTGTGTTTGTATGCTTGAATGGTGGTATTAACAAAAGGGGGGATGTGTTTTTGTGTTTGCGGTGGTGCCCTTTTTGTGCGATCCATTAAATTCGGTATTAATAGAAATCCAATTCCATTGGGATCGCTTTCACATAAACACACACACACAATCAAATATATATGTATATATATATACAAATACACTCACAGATTTGGTAGTGAAACGGATGAAAACTATTAACAAGAGTAAAATTTTAATTGGCCCTTGGTCCTTAACCGTTGTCCAAGTCGAAGCTTTCCTCGTGCTGCCCACAATAATTATAAAGATTAAGGAAAGGAGTGGGGTTGAAAGAGTGCATGCGAGAGCGAAATAATGAGAAGAAAAGAGAGAGAGAGAGAGGAAGTCACAGATGGGGTCTGAAAATCAATGAGAAGGTCGACCCGTCGCCGCCGCCAAAGTCGTCACCTAATCCGCTTTTAATATAACTTTGGCTCGAGTGTGTTACAGCAGTTAATAAACATCTATGTTCTTCTCTCCCTTTCTCTTATATGGCAGAACGTGCGAATGAGAAAGGGAGATAGAGTGATGAGCAGTGTGGAAACGGAAAGGGAAAGGTGCGGATGCGAATGCGAGATGTTTGAGGGTCGTAAATATTGTACCGAGTGTTTCCTTTATGAAGCTTAATCTAATTTCGACACACACCATTCTTATCTCAATAACTGATAATTTGTACATCTTAAGATCAAACTTAAGTTCACTGATTATTAATTAGTTCATAAGTCTAATTAAAAATTATGCATATTTAAAGTGTTTGATAAATAAATTGAAATACGATCTTCTTTATATGTAAAAATAACCGATATTGTATATATAAAGGGAAACTTACAAAGTATTGTCACCCTGTATAATTAAGAATATTAAGAAAAGAATATTTACAAAGTATAATGTAATAATTTAAGTCTTTTATCGTCATATTTAAAATGAAAAAAAAAAAACGTTTATTCAAACCTAATTGAAAATGATGAATATTTATTATAAGGATCGACTAATTTGTTAAAAAATACTAGAAAGCCGTTTATATTGGAATATTTTGTAAATTTTATTTGTAAACTAAATATCAATATTAGTAAGTAAATGAAGATATATAGAATATAATTACAAAAGGATATAAAGAAAGTTTTTCCAACCATTAATATTAATTTTTAGATTGAAAAAAAATAATTATATAAAACGAGGTTGTAATAATCCCACATTTATACCTAAAAAGCAATAATTCCCTAACTAAATTTATATACGTATGCATAAGATTATATACGTTGGTAACAGGATAATTTTTACTGAGTCTATAATATCTATTATACAAATTATAATTTCATGTATATTTTCATTACGTTACTTTAACCATATAGCATAAGAAATAGTTGGAGAAATGAATTAAATAATTATATTAATTATTATAATTATATTAGGAATTATTGAAAGTAGATGTACAAAAGACATGTGAATATTAAGTAGGATTAGTAAACATAAAAAAAATAGTTGTCAAACAAAATGACAGTTTCTAAACTTCTGCCACCCTTTATATTTTTATAATTAATTATTATCAATTATATTATTACACTAAATGTAGATTGGTACGATTGTTTGTCTTCGGTGGCAATCGCAAGCCCGACAACCGAAAAACCGTCAATTAAATTCCCAACGTTCGAAATCCCGACAACCATAATCCCGACTATATCGAAAATGTCTAACATAACATTTTTATATTATTCCGGAGCGTAGTGACTTTTAAATTGTTATTAATAATAAATAATAACAATTAATAATAATAAATAATTCAAGAAAATCAAATAAATTAATAATAATTTATTGTTATTAATAATAAAAGTTTAACGATATATATTTAATTTTTCGATATAGTCGGGATTTTGATACAGTCGGGATTATGGTTGTTGAGATTCTGATACAGTCGGGATATGGTTATCAAGATTTTGATATAGTCGGGATTTCGATACAGTCGGGATTTCGAACGTCGGTATTTCAATAGACGGTTTTTCGGTTGTCGGGCTTGCGACATAGACCCGTTTGTCTTATGTTATTAAAGTGTATGTGAAGTATTCTGCATATATTCATGTCCTATGCTTCTAAATAGTGAATCGCCCTGTATATGGATGGATATGAAAAGAGGCGAGTTTATAAAGTAAAACATATTCAGTTGATCCTTTTATTGAAATTCAGGAGTCGACCTACGTTGGTGTCCCGGCGTCAGCCGCCCCCTTCGATCCGTCGTAATTGAAAGGACCCATGACTATGACATAATTGTATGTATATAATATATATATATGTATATATGTGTGCGTTTGCTAATATATTGTATCGTCGCCGTTGCCGTAATACTAATTTAATTAAATTCCGGTGGAAACAGCGCATCCCCCGACACCGGCGGCACAGTTTCAAAAGATTATGCAAAAACCTTTTTCAATAGCGAAACGAACACGCACAATGGCAACCGCCCGACACGCCCGACACAAGGAATTCAATTCCAATTCCAATTTCCCGGCAATTTCGAGCCCGACCTCCGAACATCCGCGCCACCCCACCGACCCATCACCACCCCTCCGCGCGCTCGTCGCAGCCACCGTCTCCGCCAACAAATGTGTTTATCAAATTAAATACACTCGGAACTATTTTAATTAAAATTATTAACGCCTCCACAATGCAAGCCCGTACTCTTTCCGCTCCGGATGTCTTGAGATCAATGGTGGAGATACCTTTGCATTTAGAATCTTGGGTCTCAAGACCGAACGATCTGCACTGCATTCGATTATTGAAATTTCTTAAATTAAAAATAAAATTTAAAGTTTTGCAATATTAGAACTTCATTGAAAGTTTACAAGAAAATTACAATTACTTTTTTTTCGCTGTAAACTCAGAGATAATTATAAAATTACTAAAATTGTTTAGTTGATTTTGAGTATTTAGAGGGATTTTAGAGATTATTTGCAATGTCGCTAATGTGCATCAACCGGCAATTGAAACATGGATTTTTAATTTACATAACATTACCACCGAATCTATATTACATCAAAAGAATGGTATAACCGTTTCATGTTTCATTTTATTGATCAAGTAATTTTCAATTGCTAGCTACTTTATCGCAAAGACTGCGAATTGTTGAGAATAGCAACGAGCGCCAAATGGATGTTTTGTAATTTCGAATCTCGATAGCAGAATGTAATTTAAGAAAAAAGAAATATAAGAAAGAGGGCACAACAACTACTCTTCTTTTAAAAAATGTAACATTAGATTGAATGCATCATTGGACATTTATCCAATAAATTGGACAGCGTTGTAAAGAATCAGGTTGTAAAGATCAAACCGATGTATTTTGTGACAAATGTAAAGTTAGTTTATGTCTAAACATATATATTAATTCTAATTTTTTAAATTTAAATTAATTCCGGCGTTATGAGGTTAATTAGTGAATTAATTTATTTTTTACTATTTCCGAGTTTCTTATAACAGAAGGGTTGGCATAAGAAGTGAATACTTGCTAGTATTTGCAGTTATCCATTACTTTTATTAAAAAAATATTATTATTTATGTAGCAAAACTATATGTATATATAATTTTAACCGCTTTGTATATTCTAATATTTAGGAGATGTTGTTAATGGTGGGTATTGAACGAATAATAATTGTATATTGTATAAATCTTATTTTATTGAGGCCTGATATGTTGATGGTGGCCAGTATGTTTTATGATAAAAATAAATATATTACAAAGAAATAGATTACATTTAGTAACTGAGTGGTAACTATTAGCTTAGTCTAATAGTAACACAGTGTGTGTCGTGGCATCCAATTTAGTGATGGTAGTAGGCTGGAGCAGCTTGGGCGTAAGCTGGGGCAGCGGCGTAGGCTACTTTGGCGATTGGGGCGGCGATGGAAGAGTAGGAGACGGCTGGGGCGGAGGAGTAGGCTACTTTAGCTACTGGAGCAGCAGCGTAGGAGTAGGCTGGAGCGGCGGAGTAGGCTACTTTAGCTACTGGAGCAGCAGCGTAGGAGTAGGCTGGGGCGGCGGAGTAGGCTACTTTAGCTACTGGGGCAGCTGCGTAGGAGTAGGCTGGGGCGGCGGAGTAGGCTACTTTAGCTACTGGAGCAGCGGCGTAGGCAAGGGATGGAGCGGCATGAGCGTAGGTGGCGACTGGAGCGGCGTGAGCGTAAGTGGCGACTGGAGCGGCGATGGTCTTGACGGCAACGGCAGCTGGCTCCTTGTGGACGACGGCGTTGAATCCATTGTGGGCATCGGCGGTGTATTCTACAGTCCTCTTGGAGCCATCAGATTCGATGAGGGAGTAGCTTCCCTGGACGGAGTCACCACGACGGGATTCTTGCTGGCTCTTGCTGTCTCCGGTGTGTGGGTCGTTGACGGCGTATCCGAAGTCGTAAGCGGCTGGGGCATCGGCGTAGATGGCCTTGGCTACTGGGGCGGCGGCGTAAGCGACTGGAGCGGCTACCTTGGCGTAGGTGGCAACTGGGGCGGCATGAGCGTAGGTGGCAACTGGAGCGGCATGAGCATAAGTTGCGACTGGAGCGGCTTGAGCGTAGGTGAGGGCTGGGGCGGCGTGAGCGTAGGAGACGGCTGGGGCGGCATGAGCGTAGGAGAGGGCTGGAGCGGCGTGAGCGTAGGAAAGAGCTGGGGCGGCGGAGTAGGCAACCTTAGCTACTGGGGCGGCGGCGTAAGCAACCTTAGCTACGGCTGGGGATGAGTAGGTGCTGTAGGAGACCGATGGGGCTGACGAGTAGTGAGCCACTGGGGCGGCGGCGTAAGCGGCCACTGGGGCGCCATATCCCAAAGGAGCTCCGGCACGGGCTACAGCCAAAAGGGCGGCGAATGCTACGAACTGCGAAAACAAACAAAACAATTAGTTAAAATCCATAAACTGTGTTGTCTGTCAGCAGGATTCAGAAGAAAATCTTTGAAAATTCTTCGAACTTTATCTGCCGATGTTACTCACTTTGAATGCCATGTTGTTGTTGTTGGATTGGAGATGTGAGTGAGTCTGATTGTTTCAGTTTAGTCTGCTGGTATATATACTGGACTAGGCCTAAGGTGTGGTCCTGCAGCCCGGGTCCAGTTTGGGCCTTTCACCGAGCAAGATTCGCGGCGACGGTGGTGACGACGCCGAACGCACCACCGACCAACGATATACGAAACGATCTTTTCTTTCCTCTTTCCTCTTGCTTTTTTTTTCCTTCTTCTCACATAAAAATTGCATGCATCTCACGAAAGAGAGCAAACCACAAACGACACAAAATAAAACTGTATCACATACTCGGAATTATTGCAATTTCTCAAGACCTTTTACAGCAATCGACCAGTTTTCAAATTGAATTATACATATACAAAGAAAAATATAATAATAATAATTTATTGGCCAAACATCAATACATAAGAAAAAAAAATACATTCTATACATATAAATAAATTCTAACACAAAATAAAAAAAAAATATATATATATATATTAATAGGCTGGCCAAAGGGCTAACGACCGTGGTCTTTCGTCCAAGAAAAATATAAATACGCATTTAACAATTTTATTTAATGCATTTTCATTTATTTGGGAATTATCTCATTATTATCCATACATTTTTAATAAATTTGCAATAATAATTTTTTAATCTGATGGAATCATTTATTATTTGTTCATGTTAATTTATAAAAATCTTCTCTTGAACATAACTTTATACAATTTTATAAATGTAGTTCTTAATCTTATTATATCAAATGACTGGAAAACTGGAATTATTAATAATCTGGGATTTTTCCCTATGAAATTAGAACATTATTTATTTGATTGAATATAATATACTAACAATTACATTGCATTGGGAATGATTCATTTTGGTTGCAGATTTCGTATCGAAACTTGATGATTTCATTAGAGTCAATTATTCTACGAACGAAACGAACGCATACAAAAAAAAAACAACCTAACCAATCGACCTCTAACTAAGCCCTCGAGTTTACAATCTAGATCGCATAGGAAAAACTCGCATCGATATCCAAGATTCCATTTCTGCACTAGTTAAATGAATTAACGCAATTTTTCTATCCAGTTTCGTGCGAGAAAACGGATCCAAGAGCAAGGAGCGCGATCGTCCTTCGAATCGAACACAAATCAAGCGATTTTCGTTTTCGTTTTCTTTCGTCATCTTTATTTACTCTTCACCCACAATTCGCTGTTTTCTTTTCAATATATTGTTCTTGATTAAATCAGCTTACGCAATTTACATTCTCTTATAGTGAGGTGATCTTTTTCTAGTTTTTTTTTAACATAAAATATTTATTTTAGAAATTGCGGTGAACGCGATTTTCGCAATGTTTTAGATCATTTCTAAATTTCTGAATATTATTATGGATTTATATATACTAGTTATTATAATCTTATCTTAATGTTTAATTTTATAAAATTTATTTCCTTTCTTTTATTATTTTCTTATGACGATTACTTTACTTTTATAAAAGTTCGTAAAATCCGTTATTTCAAAACAAAATCATAATGGTAATGTTAAAATAAAATTTATAAAATGATTTCAATACAAAAAATATTTAAAAAAGATTGAATTATTATTTTTTATTTTCAGTTCAAAAACTTATGATTACGACTGGTTTAGTGTATTAAATGTTATGCTTTGGTCAAATATTATTAAAAGATAATTTAAATTAAGCTGAGATGCCTTGATTGGACCGATTGACGCATATATAACAGTTCCCAATTGTATTTTTTTTAATAAGTTATATTATTATTGAAAAGTAAAAGATTTTATAGTAATAGTAATCATAAAGTGTACATTATTTTTTTCATAAGTGCGAAAGGTGTGAATGCTAGTTATTAGATTACTATGCAATGAGTGTCGAAAATATATAAAAACTACGGTTTTGTGCAATTATTTTTGGTGCTCTCGTTGTAAATTGAATTGGTCGATGTCGACGAGGCACTCTGAGTTTTTGTTTTGAAAAACAAACCTAAACTAATAAAAATATATTAAATAATAAATAATAAATAGAATAGGAATAAATATAATAATAGGATATAAAATATAATGTTTTTATTTTTTTTAATTTATCGAAACGGAGATACGTGTCGCAATCGAAACCTTTCCGATTGCAGCGGCAAAAATCATATTCTCGTAACATTTGACCCCGTTCGTTGGACGAGTCATGTACGAACTAAGTACGGTGAACGAGTCATGTACGAACTAAAGTACAAAAAAAAAAGAGAAGTCATAACAATTTCATATGGCGATATGCGCCAGTTCTAGTTTCAACTAAATGTTAGATCCTGAAAAGCAAAGAGCAGTCCGCGTACTGCACGTACGTAATACGAGAGATATATTTGTATTGGGAGAGTGGGAACCTTGCTCTTTCCTCAACGTCCATATAAAACACGCTCATATATATATATATATTTCCCCTTGTAAATAATATAAATGAGTCTCAAAATTGAGAAGGATATCGATGCGGAATCGGCACTTTTCTATAATTTATAGTGTAGATTCATGGCGATTCCCCGATTGCGTAACGAGAAATTAAAATTAAATAAATATAATTAACGCGCGTCGTTCGCTGTAAACAAATTATGTAAAGCTGGAGGAAAAAATGCGCGAAGCGTTGCGTAAAAGTGAACGAAACCGGTGCAAATAGTTGGAGGAATCTGGATCTGAACCGATTGATTGCTATAATTTTGAATGTCATTTAATTATGTAGAAAGCGGCCTGAGAAAGAATTATTAAATGTCCTGTTTTAGGTTGTTTATTTCTTTCTTCGGTTTAATATAGTTTCTGTTTCACAACTTACTATTTTTGACGATAAATTAAAATAAATTTTACATATTTCACAAACTCGAATATATTGTCTTCGTTAGAAATTAATTGAAATTTCTGTATTTCTGTAACAAAATTGATTCATTAGTATCAATTTACTAAACCGAATGCAATTTTAAAATAAATGTATTTAGAAAATATTTCTTAAATACAGAATCTATTATTTGTATTTACATAAAAGTTATGATTTATACTTTGAAATTAGTAAATATTTAAAAGTTTGTATTAAAGAAAGGAACTAATTTAGTCAAAAATATCTAATTTTCTAGTTCTTCATATTTTACTTCTGCTTAACAAAAAAATATTTAAAATATTTAAAAAAAAGTATGTCTTAAAGAAAGAAACTAAGAAAATGAGTAGCATAAGTTACATTTTTAACCTATCTTCAAAATTTCTGGTATTCAACTAATGTCTCCTTTTGAATTGTAAAATATAAAATGTATTAAATATATATTATTTGTCTCCTCATAGAAAAAGTATGCAAAAGTTACGGATTTTTAGTTCTTAAGCTGTCTTAAAAAAAAATAAAAAACTAAAATGTAAAATATTTATAAATTTGTATTAAAGAAATAATCAAATTTATTGTGTGCAAAATCATATGTAAAATCTGTATATTGTATTGCTTATTATCATTATGATTTCTTCTATGGAATTGTTAAATATTTCAAAATATATCTTATAGAAAAAAAATATTCAAAAGTTATGTATTTTTAGTTCTTAAAACAATTTTACTACTTTTTAACATTTTTTTTAATTGGAATGAAAAATGGTTTAAACTTTGTATTAAGAAAGAACTAATAGATTGTCAGTATTCTCAGTATATTCTGCTGTTTATCTAAGTATGTACTGTGTTTAACATAATATATTCTTTGCAATTGAAAAATATTAGAAAATTTGGAAAAATCTGATTTTCTATTTCATAAAGTATATTCAAATATTAATGTTGTTTAACAGAATTCCTTTTTTGCTCTATTAATAGTATTCCCATAAAAAAAAATATGCAAAAGTTTTGAATTTTTAGTTGTTAAGTTGTCTTCAAAATGTACTGCTCTTTAATATCATCACTTCTTTGAAATTATAAAAGTTTGTAATAAAGAAATAATTAAATTTATTGTCAGTATTCTCATCAGAAAATATGCAAAAAAAATCTGATTTTATCAGTATTTTCAAATATTACTGCTGTGTAATCAAATTTCTTCTTAAACAAACAACTAATATATTTTTTGTATTCCCATTAAAAATTGTATGTATATTGTTGAACTGTGCCAAGTAAACATTTCTTCTTCGAAATCGTTTTATGTGTTATTAATAGTGAATTTTACGTGCGAATAATGGAGATGACGAATTAAGATATCATCATTATTCATCAGATTATCGCACATCAAGTTTCTCCCAATCCGAAGTCTGATGCGATAATATGTTGGCGACCCTGATCCACAACCTGTAACCCGTTTTCATACCTGTTTCATTAAAGAATTGAACGGTGTGTCTTTAAGCATTGAATTTCGAAATAAATTACGCATTACCCGATTCGAGATGCTCGTTTTACTTCTCTTCAATGCAATAACCGAAGTTATTAGCTTAATTATTATTACCTACTTGTATATCGATTGGGTCCGAGAGGGTGGATTAAAGCGTTCGTTTGTTTTGAATTTGCGTGAGTCGCGGGGGGAGGGCGGCAGTGGCGATGGTGGCGCCCAACCGCCCATCGCCGCCCCCTAAAACCCCCGCAGCAGCAGCATCAGGATGATCGGGGGCGGTTTGGGCGTTCGGGGTTCTTCTCACTTATGTTTGTTTGGTTTGTAGTGTGTTTGTGATGTCGACAATGGGTTTCGGGACTAGTTCGTGGAGCAACAATTGATAAAGTGTTGATTCATTGCCATTGACATGTGTGTCTGCTGTGTGTATTTGTCTATTTACTCTCTCGCTCACACCCATCCCCGTTCCATAAACAAACACGTATTTATCTCTCTCTGTCTCTCTCTCTCTCTCTTTCACAGTATAGGTGGATAGGTGGTATTGTCGGGGGCACAAAGAGGCGATTATGTTTGCACGGACATAAAGTGCCATCATCAACGGCGATCATCGGATCGGCCCCGTTGGTGGTCACTTACCATATCACCACATCAAAACCCATCCTC